GTACATGAAAAAAAAATCCCCTGAAAATAAGGCCTAATGCATTTTTGGAGCAAAAATTATTTTTTCTTATTTTCAGGGAAACATGGTATTAGCCCAACACTCCAGGAGTGAAATGTGTGCAGTCAAGGTTTTCAGAAGAGACCAGGTAGGTTATTCTGCCTCTTTGGTCATCCCATTCTCACTTTTTTTTTTGAAACAAGCACTACATGTGTCTTAAAATAGGGTGTGACAACATTGGCAATTTACCCCTCGGTTTGTGTTGCAGCTGCCATGTTTAAAATTTCATTATTTACCAACAACTTCATGACATGAAGTCCAGTCCTTTTCTATGGGAAATGGTTTCTTTTTTCTTCAGCCAGCGGGTGTATGTGTGTCTTATTTTGCACCAAATCAGCTGGCATTGCTTTTCTCCATTTTCTGCTGTTTTTGATCGCCTGTCCTGTTGCAAAGGGGCAGTGGCAGAGGGGCAGCCCATGTGCTTCCTGGCTTGGGTTTCTTCATGTCTATGGTGACATTGACAGTTGCCTCCAAGCAATTTTTTTCAGTTTTTAAAATTATGCTTCTAAAATTTAGTGCTGCATCAGAGAAGCACTATGTAACTTTCAAAAAAAATTAAAAAACAATAAAATAGAACGAAAGGAAAGAGTGGGAAAGAGGGCAGTATTAATAGGGTGTGTTCCTCATAGAAACTGAACTGATTGGGAAGTGCACTGTGGACCACAATTCTTTGGAAAATGATTAAAACCCAAAGGCAGTGAATAGAGAGAACACATGAACAGTTTCTTCACCTCACCTGAAAACAGATGGCAGCAATGAAGGATCCCTTTGTCATAAAAACCAACCTGCTCTTCTCTCGGCAGCAGTAGGAGCGGTACCACCCCTATCAAAAGCAACAGGTCAGGACAATGCCTTGTCTCCATGAAGAAACCCAAGCCACGAAGCACATGGCTGCCCCTCAAATTTTACAGGGAGAGCAGCAGCTGCTGCTTGATGCTACATGTCAGCAACTTGCTTTGCTCCTGTGCACCCTCTTCCACAGAAACTGTCAGCCTTGGCCCACCCACCCAACTAAGCTGTGGGAAGGAGCCAGGTGGGTGAAGGTTTGCCCCACCTCAGTCAGCTCTAGACAAGCACCTGGCTCCTTTTTCTCCACCATTTCTCCTGCACAAGTTCTTGGCGGCACTCAAATCCCCACTCTCACTCTTGCCATGGGATAATTGATTGTACCGGTGTGGACGGCTACAACACTTTAACCAGTGGAAATCAGCAAGGACCTGGCTCAAAAACCTTCTAAGCAAACTAGATGCTGCCTCCATACCTGAGGATGTAGAAAATATACTTGGCATTATAGTATTCCAATATGTTATTTATCTCAATAATTCTCAAAACAACATATGACTGAAATTATTCATATATATCAGAAAAAAGAAATCTAACGTGACATAGAGGCTAGATGGAAAGAGACTTGTGAGATTCAGCTTGTAGCCCCCACTGCATATCTGTCGGCCAGCCACCCTCTCTGCACTCAGTCTATCTCAATTGATTGTTGAGGGGAGCAAACAGAGAAAATGGGAGCTATTATGCTGTTTTCAGTTCAAAAATTAGCATATAAACATAAAGAAAAAGGTTGGAGGTCTGACATTAAGAGAAAAGTAGCTTATCTCAGGGTTCACAGTCGCTCAACGGAATATACAATTTACACAGCGGCTTAAAGGAACAGACAATTTAAGGCTTATGTGTAACAATATAGTACTCTTTTTCTAGTCGTGACCACATTTTTGTGAAAGGCAGGAGGAAATATTATTTATTTGTAACTTGGTTTTGAATGCACGTGTCAAAGTCTTGTATGTTCCTAAGCGTTTTGCATAAAAGTCAAGTTAGCTAAAATAAACAGAGCATGCTTAGAAACAATGTGTTTGGGAGCAAGGTGCTATTTAGCACATTTCCATAATGCTCAGCAGCCAAACTTCTCTCTGTGTTTTGTTATGTGCTATCAAGCTGCCTCTAACTTATGGCAACTCTAACAGGGTTTTCAAGGGCTGTTCAAAGAGTGGTTTATCATTGTCACTTTCCAGTAAGTGCCATGGCCAAGCAGGAATGTGAACCCAGGTCTTCTGAATCCTGGTCTGGCACTCTATCATCAATTATACCATACCGGTTCTCTTCTCTCTGCATTAAAAAGTGAAGGTTGCTTGCATGACACACTGAGAGGTTTAGAATGCCGGAAAAACAAATTGCCCTTTAATTCATCATCATTCCTAAACTGGAACTGCTGAGCCCCTGACATCACAGCATTCCTCTTTTCTTTTGGTCTGTATACGGTATTTGCAAATCAAAGTACAGTATCCTTTACTTTTCTGTCCAATGAGTGGGGAAAAACGGAGAGCTGCTATGAAAACTCCTATTATCTAAAACACTGCTTTATCGTTTTAGGAAGCAAAAAGTTCTGAATGCCCATGTTCCAGACACACTGATTTTGACACAGTAATTGGAGTTTTGAATTGCCATCAGTGACATTTCTACTCAGATGTGTGATTTAGGCTCACAAGAGTTTATCGGAGAAACGGTCCCATTTACCAAACACTCCTACAGAATGCAGAGACAAGAAAATCAAACAAGCTGACTAGTATATTTTGGGAGATTCGGTTAAAAAAAACCTTATTTCCCATGCCTCCTAATGAGCAAGGAATGTAGGAAGACAGTGGCAGTGAGCTCTTGACATTTATACTTTTGCATGCACACTTTTCCTAATATTCAATATTTCATATTAAAACACAAGCAGAGGCAGACAGGGTGGCACACAAAAGCTTACTTTTATATGTATTCCCTTAACTACCAAAGGTAATTGCACAGTATGGTGTAATCATTAGAATGATGACTAACACTCAAGAGGCCTGAGTCTGAATCCCCACTTGGCCATGGATACTCACTGGGGGAGTGGAACTGATAAAACCACTTCTTAAATGCCTCACTTACCTTGAAAGCCCTAATAGGATCGCTATAAATTGGTTTTGACTTGGTGCCACATAACAAAACTAACAAAGGATATTTTAGCAAGAAATGCAAGAAAAAAGGCTATGGAGAGAATGATCTGCACTTTTCCCACAAGGGGGAAAAAACAGTATGCAGGTTGTATGCTTTCTATAAGATAGTCATGCCTAACGTACCTCCCCACATCAATAAATTTATAATTATACTACTATCTGGAGCTATTCAAGAATTCCGAGAGTTGTGATCTGAGAAAATAACTTGTCAAAGTTCTGATTGTCACAAAGAAAACTGTTTAAAAAAGCAAAGCATGCTGCTTATATACTGCATGCTTAAACCACTCTTTGCGGGGGTTACAATTCAATTATGCAGGCTACATATTCTGCTGCCTCCACCTCAGCAAGCTGGGTACTCAATTTACCGTATTTTTCGCTCCATAAGACGCACCTCTCCATAAGATGCGCCAAATTTTTAGAACAGGGAAAAAAAATTCTGTTTTCTTCTAAAAATTGGTGAGCCTTATGGAGAGGTCCATCTTAAGGAACACACCCTAGGACTCTTTAGAGACTCACCCTGCCCCCCCAGGGGTCAGAAGGGGTGAAATTGCCACCTTCTGGGAATCTTCTGAAGCTTCCCAAGCCTCAAAAGAGTCCCGGAAGGTGGCGATTCTGCTTCCTCTGGCCCGGCGGGGGCGGGGGGGCTGGATGAGCCTCCAAAGGGTCCTAGGGTGTGTTCCAGG